GTGATGCTCTTATAAATCAAATACCATTATATGAAGATGATGTCATTCCAGAACTATTTTTAGAGGGAAGACTATTTCAAGTAAGGATATACTAGAATATGCTTTGAACGGTTGGTCAATAATGAATAACGTAGAATACAAAAAAATTACTTCAAATAAAAAAAGACTTACAGTTCAGTGTCCAATTTATTCATGAGAATTGTCCATGTGATTTGCGTCTACATGCATCAAAGAGTCAGCAATTAGGGGGTGCATAAAAATATCTATAATTGGGGCATCACGTACATGTACTGTCCAGTTATGTCAATCGAGCACCAAAATTGCACTACAAAATTCATATGTCACTATGTATATTCTATTCTAGGACAACAATTTGACCTAAAGCCTGAATAAATTGTTTCCCGAATGGATTCAAAATTTAATGTTTGTGCTAAGTTTATCAAAACATTGGATACGTGTAGAAAAGCTATAAAATAAATTTTTGGTAGTTTCAAGTAGTTGTATTGCTCTTTAATTCCTTAATGATAACAATATGCAGTGAGATTTCATAAATAGTATACAAAATAGAAATAAAAAATAGTACGAGCTTTCATAATATTTTGTTGGCATTTAGCCCCAATATATATGATTGAAGATTAAAGACTTTGTTGACTGCTGTATGAAATAAAAAATAGTCCTTTTCCATTTGCATTTGAAGTAGTAGAATCTGATAATACTGAGTCTTGGGTATTGTTTCTACGATAATTGTATGCTTTGGTGAAAATTGGCTGGACCTATGAAGATCAATGTATAATATCATACAAACACCCAGGGCTGGTTTTGTAGTTGTGTGGAGATATTTCCATGGGCTGCACATAGACAATGCTTAAGTCATCTCCGAAAAAAATTTAAGAAGGCAGTATGACGTATTGCAAATGTTGATACTATTTGTAATAAAATATATTGGGTTGGAAATACTGATGAAGCACACACTTTTAATACACAAATGATTGATATTAAAAATATTAAAAAGGAGGCATATGATTGGTTAATTGAGTGAGATGTCATGAAGTGATTTTTAGTATCTGATGGTGGCTAGCTTTGGAACAATGACCACAAATACATCTGAATGTTTTAACGAAGCATTGAGACGTGCACATTGTCTCTGGATTTAGAGTCTCATATATGTTATTTATTATAATTTAGTTGTTTTATTTTTTAAACGATCAAGTAATGTATCACAATATAATGAAGCTTTGAGCTTAAATTTTGTTTTTTTCACAAGTTCAACTCTACAAAGAATTGAGTGTGAAGTCCATTTGTTTCCATAACCAACATGCATTAATCATCGAGAGTATCTGGTATTTGATATGGTTTGTAGAGCATTTCGTGCAGACATGCTTTCTCTGAAGGCTAGCTCATGTAAATGCAATAAACCACAATTTTATCACATAACATGTGTGCATGTAATTGTGGCTTTGGGGGTTAGACGTTTGGACCACACTGCTTTTGTTTCCAAGTACTTTAAATTAGGTTTATATCGTCAGTCATTTAAATCATTATTCCATATGATACCAGAGAAAGAATCATGACCATCGTACAATCAAGAATAATGTATTGTTAGTTTACTTTCCCCTTATTTAGAAGAAGATGTGGTCGTCCAATAAAAATACAATGGATGAGATGAGAATTACAATCATAAGAGTGTGTGATTTTTATAAAAAATTGTAGCATAATAGAACGGCTTGTCCCAATAATCCAAGTACAAGTAGATATGAATAACATATTAAATTAAATTCCATATTAAAATACTATTATATTTATTCAAAATTTTAATATACACATTTGATATTTTGTTTATAAGCACTTTGATTATTTTGTAGAGATGGTTGAGGCATCAGGTTTGGCAGGCCACCACAGTCGTACTAGATGTAATGTGCAAGCGGATAACAATACATTTCAAGTAAGCACACATCCAAGCATTTCATATTTAGGTGAAGCATGGCATGCAGCAAACCCAAATCAGATCATTGAAATACTTTTCTTATTTAAAAATTAAGTGAAATAATTATCACTGCTAAAATAATTAATTTATATAAGGCACATCTCTTGAATCAGCCAGTCACTTACTAGTGGCAAAAAAGTGGCTAGTGCAATGCCCACGGTTTATCAGTGAACAAAGGATTGCAGGTATCGACTGTTAAGCACTTGCAATACGTTAAATTAGACCACCACCTAATAACTGCAATGGTAGAGCGATGATGCCCTATGACCAATTTGTTTCATTTGCTTATAAGTAAGATAAATTTGCATTCATAATTACATATTAATGTTAATATTATAACTATTTTAATTTATATAATGTAAATTTATGTCAGGCGTGATGACTACCACTTTACAAAATGTATATATACTTATTGATGTTAGGGCAAATGAAAATGCCCTAGTGATGCCTATGTTTGTTGACCCTGTTTAGCGCTGATCGAGTTGGCCAACATATTGCGATGACTTATTGGGTGACCACATTAAGATTGATTTTATCTACCCCCATCCTATAAACCATGAGATAAAATCAACTTCCTTTATGGGTCACTCTCAATCACAAGCTATCATGTCACTTCCTTGAATCCATTAGTATTTTTATAAGGATTTTTACGAGAATTTACATTCACATGATTTATCAACGCATCTTATGACTCATACTTTTTACATATTAAGATGTTTTCTGATCTCAGATACTTCTGGATCACATGTTCGGTTGAAATATTTCCCATTGTTGGAGAATTTGGAAGATATTATTTGGGAAGCGTGTGTCGGCACAACTGTATAGAGAATTAAATCTATCAACTAAGCCTGCCCATGTCATGATTTTAGGTGTTTGCACTTGTTTCAAGCGTGGTGTTGGCAGCACTTACATGTTATTAGACCCACCCTTTATGTTTCGACTCTTTATGAATTATCTGGCAAATTGTTTGGATTCATGTACATAATCAATTTCTATATTCATATATACACACACATAATTTTTAATTAGATTCAGCTTATTTGTTTAAATAACATGTAGATGGATGAAAAGTAGACATGTGAAGTGCCAGTTGGAAATATAAAAAAGAATAGATATGAACTTGATGGACTCTAAGATTTGGTGATAGGCTAGAACCTTAATCTAGAAATTTCCCATGAGATGCTCCAAAAGTGCATTTCTACGTATTGAGTTTTATATTATATTTCCTAAGGGTTTGAAACAATTACTAATGTGCTGTTCAGTTGACTTGCTCTTAACTATTATATTATCAACATATATTTCAACATTTTCCCCTTTTTTATTAGCAAATATTACATCCATAAGACTTTGTTTTGTGACCCCAACATTCTTGAGCCCAAAAGACACTATGTTAAAACAATAAACACCCTCACTGATTATGAAAACAGTCTTCTCAACATTAGGTGGGTGCATCTTTATTTGACGATAGTCGAATAAGATGTCTAGGAAGCTCATCATCATGGAGCCGACTACTCAGTCAACCAACATGTCGATCTTCAGTAGGGGTAGCTATCTTTTGGGCAAACAATGTTCATATTTATGAAATCCACACGCATTATTCCCTTTCCATTGGCTTTCTGCACCAACACAAAGTTAGAGACCTAATTTGGGTACTGGACCTTCCTGACGTAGCCGACCTCCTTCAACTTCAGTACCTCCTTGTAAATCGGTCAAGCCAGAGCCATTAAACCACCTTAGGGCAGACTTCCTCAATGTGTTAAAGAACAACCAAAACCTTAAAGCATCGCTGATCCTCAACATACATACTATAGACACAAAAGCAACAATGTGGTCGACCAAGTCATTCTAACCCTTATAGGAATTGAGGTGAGGGAATATAAGCTTTTTTGAAGGTTCATACACTAAATTTTGCCGAGAGAAAGCGTTCTTTGATTTTTGTGGCCGATGCCCTTCCATCGGCGTGGACTCAACACAATCAATGTACTAGGGGTCTGGTCTTTTGGGTGTTTGTGCGACTCTTTAGGCGCTAGACACATGTTCCTAGTGAGGTTCCCATAATAAGAAAGGTCTTTGCTACTCCCTTTAGATTATATAATCTTGAATGGCAATCATCATCCGATCTCTTAGCTCCTGAACCTGCTATTGTACAAATTATCTGATGTACTCCATGGTTGCAATGTCTCTTTGTGTTGTTTCTTCTTCTTATTTGAGGTATGTTCACGCTCACCGCACAACCTTTAGGATTTTGAATCCTGATTTGTCCTTAGGAACACACTATATTGCATGAAAGAAGAGAGAAAATAGAGAGAAAATGAGTATAAAGTAAGAGGTGAACAATTCAGAGGAAAAAAAGTTTCTCTTTATTTATAAGTTGGTACCTATTTATAATCATGAAGGGCTCTTGATAAAATTACATGCTTACACCCATTTTAATGGGGTCGTTACAGATAGTTAGTTTTCTAAAAATTTTGCTCTTTATTAGAGGAGTTACAAATAGGTTTGATAATTACAATTGATACAGACGACTTTCCATATCTTTAATTGACATTGACACTTTTTCACATTCTTTCTATATTAATAAAAGACATTGACACTTTTGTAGGTTTAAACCTTCTGGCCGACAGGTATTTGGGTTGGACGGCTTAACCGATTTTGGTCAGCTATATCGTTTGGATGACGATCAACCATCGCTATGTGAAGCCGGGCGGCTTTGAGGGTGGCGGTCGATCCACCTTGAGATGATCGGTGCGGGTAATTTGTTAGCCTTGGTGTCTTTTTGTTTTGTTGAAAATATCTTTTGTCCATCATCCGTTCTTCAATCGATCGACTATATTCAACCAGTGAGTTTCGTGAGTTTTGAAAGCTTTTCGTCCAATCAATTTTCATATTTTCCCTTCTAATTTAGACCATCTCATTGAGAGTCATGTTGATAATTTTCTTGTGTACAATATGTGATTATATGAAGTGTGGCATGTATGTAAAGTTTTCTACAATTACATTTTTCTGTGAGGCATGTAAGGATAAAAAAATGTAATTTGTAGAATTCCTCCAAATCAAGATGCTTGCTTTCTGGTTTGTTCGAATGGCAAGCTCCGCATCGGGCAAAGTCCGCCAGATGATTTCATGTCGACTATAAAACCCTAATAAAACCCCCTCCGGCATCAGCCGTTCGACTTTCCCACCTCGATAATCGCTACCAAGAGCATCCCAATTGAGAGTTTATCACTGAAAGCTATTCCCAACTATCTTTGTCTGGTTGTCCCTCATGGCTTTATCCGTAGATCAGGACCAGAAATGGCTCATCGACTGCCTCAACGCAACGCTGGACACAAATCGCGAACTCCGCTCCTTCGCCGAGGCCTCGCTTCAGCAAGCTTCTCTGCAGCCAGGTTTATTCTCGAGTCCCTTGAAATGGATTGTCGTAATGCGGATATGTTATCGTTTGATATCTACTTGGCAGTGGTTCTTGTTTCTCTGTGTCGTAATGCTGCATGTTATTAGTGGTTTTATTTGACTATTTGAAGTTTTTTTGTTTCTTTTGACGGTCCTCTGTTGCAGATTCGAATTGAGCATAATTTCAAACTTGTTTGTGTATGATGCCTCATGATTATTTCAATATGAAATGCCAATTTTAATCTTAACATAATGTCCTTAGTGTGAATGTTCAATTTGCAGCGGTTTATATTTGAAATTGCAGCAAACATCGCTTCAAAAGTGGAACAAAGTTCATTTCAATTTTGATATTGTTAATTCACAATGCATTTTAATAAATTGTTATACTTATGTGCGCCTTTTTTTGTTTTTTTAGTGACAACCAATAAGAAATTGAAAATTTTTTCTTCTCATAAAGGTTACGGAGCTGCTCTTACCAAGATTACCATTAACAAGGATATTGCTTTTGGACTGCGGCAGATATCCTTCTTGATTGAACATATCGACGCCTTACTTATTTTATTGATTCATACCTTCCCCTACCTCAACCTTCTGTAATTACTTAACGTTTGTTACCTAGCTGCTGTTTTGCTAAAGCAGTTCATAAAGCAACATTGGGAAGAAGGCGAAGAGAATTTTGTGCATCCTGTGGTTTCAGCTGAAGAGAAGGTTCATTTTCTTACTGGATATATTTCTTATAGCTCAAAATAATAAGGCTTTTGCCACTGCTTAGATGCATGGTAAACATTTATATTATTTATTTCTTTTCTTATCTAACGATTGATAACTTTTCATCATGTCTTTAAGAACGTACTTTGCTCACTCGGTTATGCCTTATGATATCCAAACTTTTTTACTAATACCTTATATTTTCCAGAGGATCATGCACCAACTTTTGCTTCCTTCATTGGATGATCCTAATAGGAAAATTCGCACAGCAATTAGCATGGCTATAGTTTCCATTGCTCAATATGATTGGCCAGATGATTGGCCTGAACTGCTACCTTTTCTATTAAAATTGATTAGCGAGAAAAAAAATATTGGTGGAGGTACTTTTTTAGATGCATATTTTTTTCTTATTATTCTTATAAGTTAAAATTTGTCTTTGTATTGTGAAGGTAAAGTCTGATTTGACAAGTTAAAATTTTTATATCTAATTATTTTAATTATTCATTTCGAACTATTGTTTGGTTGGTATCTTCTTTCAGTTCACGGAGCTCTAAAATGCTTGGATCTTCTCTCTGGTGAATTGGATGATGCTTTGGTGCCTAAATTGTTACCCGCTCTGTTCCCTCACTTGCATTCAATAATTTCTTCACCTCATGTGAGTGCCTGCTATTTGAAGAAATATTTTTTTCTTTTAACAAGGCGTATGAATTATGTTTTTTATTTCATTACATTAATTTGAAGTAATAACTTTATTTTTGTGAAGTAACAAGGAATTTTTCTGCTTTTCATGCTTAAATTTTGTCACTTGTTTTATTTTCTTCAGCTATATGAGAAGTCTCTCAGAACAAAAGCTTTGGCAATAGTGCATTCTTGCATTTCTGTTCTAGGGTCAATGAGTGGTTTGTATGAGGTATATTCTCGGTGTACCCTATTTGTTATTTTCTGACTTTATCTGCTAAGAATTTTAAGAGGCATATTGTTCTTGAGAATTGATTTGTTCCCATCGAGGCAATAATTGATCTGCTGCTTCAGGCCGAAACTGCTGGTCTGTTGAAGCTGGTGGTTGATTTTCTAATGGAGCAATTTTCTATTATTTTACAACCACCTATGCGATCAGATGATCCAGATGAGTGGAGTATGAGAATGGAGGTGAATTTCTTTTGGATTGTCTAACACTCAGGCTTCTGTATATTTTTCTTTGTAACATTCATTCTCTTTTCTAAGTTACCAGGTCCTGAAATGTTTGCTCCAGCTTGTTCAAAATTTTCCTAGCCTCATGGAGACACGGATATCAGGTAACTATTTGGGTATATTAACTCCAAATAATGTGATTTCTTTTCTTATGCCACACTTGTTTATCCCTCATCCCAAATTATTGATATGCAATTTGGTCCAGTTATTTCATCATCACTGTGGCAGACATTTGTTTCATCCTTGGATATATACCAGATTTTATGTATTCAGGGCACTGAAGATTCACGTTCTGGTATATTTGATTCTGATGGTAATGAGAGAAGCCTAGATGCCTTTATTATTCAGGTGCTGAATTGCTGTTGAATTGTCAATTAATGGTTTCATTTTTAGGCAATTATTTACTAAATTTTTTTTTCATTAGGAAATTGTTTACTAAATTTTGTTTTCATTAAGAATGATAAAAAAACTCACTTTCAATGAATCTGAAGGGGGCATTTTAGCTATTTAATACATAACTTTGAATCTTGTGAAGCATTGAACTTTTTCAACTAAGCGGTTAATACAGAGATTCATTGCATGTTTTGGTTTTGAGATAACTCGAGTTTTTAAAATTTTCTCCTTGTATTGATTTGATTATTTACTCAATGCTGTGTTTAAATGATTGTAATAGATCTTTTGAGTTGTGTATTGACTACCGATGCATTTTACAATGCTAGTTGAATTTATCGGGATTGTGATAAGAAACTGCTATTATTTTCATCATAATAATTGTGTTGGATGCCATGCTCTTACAAGTTGATCAATTGTATCCTTCTGTCATTGTCTAGTTGTTCGAAACTATATTAACAATTGTGGGAAACGCTAAAATGGCAAAGGTACATTTCTAAATCTTATTTGTTCACCTTAACATTTTTTAGCCGTTATTTGTTAATTTTGTGATTTCATCCAAGCATAATTGTAATCGGAAATGATATATTTGGAATTGGGCATTGTAGGTCATTCGAGGAAGCATAAAACAGCTTATTTACCATACCATAGCTTTTCTACAGATGACGGAAGAGCAAGTATGTTTAATTAAGTGCGCTTATTTCACTTTGAAAAGTTGTTTGATGCATTTAATATTTTTAAATGGATAGTTGTTTAATGCATTTAATATATTTAAATTAAAGAGTGTTTTTATTCATTTGGTTCCATTTATTTATTTATTCAATAAGTTCGTTTTTTTATTGCTTGAGATTATCAAGTCAACCCTAACACAAGCGAAAAATTCCTATTTATGAATTTCAGAGCATTGGAAGATATGATTAGATAGAATTAGTATTTCTCATTTGCTTGCAAGTCTTGTCTTACGTTGTTTTCGTTTCGTGTGATTCTACTTGATATTGCAAGTGATGTATAATGTGATTGTGGGACAAATCTAATATATAATTTATTAATGGAGTTGTTATTGTGTTAGCTAAGGGTTGCTTGTGGGACCAGGCTACATTATGTATGATGATCCAAGAGGGAAACCCTAATGGTTGCTGCAGCTTTAGGAAGAAGGATAGATGCAGGCATACAATTGAAGGAATGTGCTAGCTGTTTTCTGATATTATTGTTACACTTCATTGTTTGCTTTCGGTTTAAGACCTACTCAAAACATAGATTTGGTCTAATTAGGAAGTCTATGTCAAATTGCATGCTCCTTTCTTTGAGAAAACCTGATCTTTGTTTTCATTAATATAAACATATAAGTGTTGAATTTCGATCTTTCCGTGAGATATGCCCAAACCTTACTGTATTAGAGGAAATTTGAAAAGATAGAAAAGTGATGAGGTAGAGGAAGATAATCTATTAAATTCAGCCTCAACATGCTACAATGAAAATAGTTTGGGGGTCTAGGTAAAAAAAGCCAGAAGTCTAGGCCCTCCCCATGATCCCACCATTTATAGGTAGGTATATGAGGTTTCAAGAGCCATAGAGAAAGCTGCAAAATAAACAACACGTTTAAAAACGATTAAGAAATATAGAAGATTTGTAACTTCGTTGCAGACTCGTTTTGGGCGGCTGACTTGCTAGAGAAGCTGCCAGGTCTCTCGGTAGGTCGGAATGCATCTCTAATTGTAGTCTGTTTGGCCTATTCTGTTTATGAAAACTGGCATGGATGGAGATGGCATTATTTCTAGAACCTTAGTGGATGCTTCCTTTTGATTGGCACCCAGCCCACCTTGCGGCTGTTAGGTAGACCTCTTGAAGCGAGCTGTCCCAATTGAACTAGGCTAGGGTGCTCATGTTGGGTCTGATTTGGTGAGCTGATATTGAGCTCGACTTGGCATGCTCATACCCTTTGTCATCCTTTTTGGCGAGCCATCCTCAAGGGTGTACAATAAGGTTAAGAAAATTGAGGAAGCTTAACTAGGCTGACATGATGCAGTTTTTAAAGTGTATGAATGGCAGATAATGTATTCATTATGCCTAAGCTCAACATTTAGTGTGATGGCAGAATGACCGACAATGGTGATTTGTGAAAACACAATTTTTATTATTTTGGGAGGTAAATTCAGTATTACACAAGTTGCATTCATAAAAATCAAAGTTCTTCAGGTTGTGAATGGAGGAAACTGTTTTTAATTCGGTCTCAGTAACTTGTACCATAATCTATTAGAACAGTATGTAGAGAATACCGCCAACTCTGAAACTATCTTCCTTGTTATGAAGACCAATGAATTAAACCATGAAGTAATTGCCGGAAGTCCTGACTAGTGCAAAATACAGCTCTTAAGGTGAATGAATGGTGGAATAGCTGTTCTGAAGCCTAACTCACCAATACTTTTATATAAGGCATATTGACATTGATGGTTTGCTAAAACGGTTAAAACGTTTTATGTCATAGGCCTTAGGTTGTCTTTTCACTATTTTGTGAACTAGCATTCAAAAATATAGAAAGTGAGGAAGAATATGGAATATAAATTTTTTCTTCGTCTTCAACATCTTTTTTTGAGCTTCTTCTTAACTACTAGGAGTTTGATTTATGAATCTTTATTACTGTAATCTGTTTTTTTGCGCCTTGGGTCCACAAATTAATTAGACAAATTGCCAAACATACTGGAATTGTACTTCCTGCTAGCACCAGTATTATTTTGTTACGAGAGTGCGTAGCCTAAGGGCAAATTTGTCTTTTGTACGCCTAAGGGCAATTTAGTCTTTTATTATTATTATTCTTGGGTATAAATAGACTTGTTATGTCTAGGGTTAGTTTTTATGCATGAGATTGAGTTGTGAGAGACCGCCTATCTCTCGAATTGTAGGTGTTTATCTTTGTTTTCTTGTGGAGTTGTTTGATTTATTAAATAAATATTGTGCTTGCCCTGATTTTTTTGGAAAAGCGCCCCAATTTTGTGGTTGAATCATATTAGATTGGTATCAAAGCCAAATTCTAACCCTAGCTTGCGCTATAGTGCCGCTATTGTTCTGCCCCTATCTCTTCCGGCCAGCCGCTGACTGCGGGATCGTGGCAAGGTCGAGCGGCTTGAAGATTCGCGATTGGAGCCAGGAAAGGCAACAGACGGGATAGCCATTGCTCCAAGCTTTGCGATACAATCGCGATTGGAGCTAGGGAAGGCAACAGACGGGATTGCGACAGGGTCAAGCGGATTGAATCACGATTGGAGGGCAACATATGTGATCGCGGCAGAGTCGAGCGGATTGAATCGTGATTGGAGCTAGGGAAGGCAACATATGGGATCATGATAGTGCCGAGCAGCTTGAAGCATCACAAAGCAGTCGCGATTGGAGCTAACTGGGAAGAATCACAACTTATTGAGATCCAAAACTCACGTACAGTCGCGCGCAAAGGCTATGCGATAGATTGCCGAAGGATCGTGTGCATGGAGATGGGTCTGGGAAACTACGGTAAGGATCAGCATACAGAGATCCGAAGCCAAGCCATATAGTCGCGATCATTGCTTGCAGGGAAGGCGACACTGGGCTTATGGCTTACAGAAGAAGGCAACGAGGGACTTGCGGCTTACAGAAGAAGGCAACGACTGGTTCGGAGCTTTCGTCGGCCTGCACTGTCGTGACCGAGCCTGCGATATAGTTGAGTTGCAGTAAAGTCTTGATCGAAACTAGCGGGGAAGGCTGTTATGGAATCGGGCGAGCCTTAATTGTGTTACTAGAAGTCAGCGACTTAACTCGAAACCAAGCAGACTCTAGTGATAGGAGATAATGACAGCTAAGAAAATAGATGATTTGGATAAGAAATTAGGGAAGAGAGCATCCAAATCAGATCGGGGATGGAAGAAAGGTTCGCCGCCATAGAGGATGAGTTTTCTTTCACGAAAAATGGACCGATTCGAGAGCATGAGGAAAATTCAAGAGTTAATAAAGAAGCTTATTGAGATGCAATTCAAGATCTTGCTGAAGGTTCAATTTGCAATCCTAATCAAAGTTTGGCTGGAGAATTCGTGGCAAGATCGAAGGGAAAATAGATCGAACATGAGGAACATGAGTAAAACTTCCACCATCACGAACCCCCTCTCAGGACTTTGATTAGGGGTGGATTATAGATTTCTTATGGAGGCGGTTGGGTCAAAACATGGAGAAGGAATTATGCCAGAGGTTTGGAGGAACACGAAGAAGAAGTGAGAGAAGCAGGAGGGGGATATGACTACGGTCGATGGAAGGAGTTGTGCCCTCGATACATGGAGGGAAACAATAGAGATAGAGGAAGTTGGGGTGAAGATGTTAGAGTTAGGAAGTTGAAGATGATGTTCTTCCAGGGGGAAGGCACACATGGGTGAGTGTACCGGGCGGAGCGATACTTCACGGTGAATAAGTTAGATGGGGAGGAGAAACTCATGGTGGCAAGATTATGTTTGGAAGGGAAAGCCTTAGCCTGATTTTAGTTGAGGGAGGCTAGATATTCGATTCGCTATTGTAGGTGTTTTTCTTTGTTTTCTTGGGGGGTTGTTTGATTTATTGAAGAAATATTGTGTTTGCTCTAATTTTTCTGGAAAAATGTGCCAATTTTGTGGTCGAATCGTATCATAGTTCAAATCCTGATTGAAATTGTAGAAGATTTTGAAACTTTGCTGTACCATGTCTTCTAATAATTATATAAGAGCTTGAACCAAACCATATCTGTAGTTTTTTTGGCTAATTTTCATGCTTTGTTCATGATGTGTATCTGATTCCATGTTTCTCTGAAATCTGTGAGGCCCATAGTCCCCGCATGCTAAAACTGAAAAAACAAAAATGAAAGTTTGGAGTCATGCATCAAAACATTAGAGATGCATAAGAGTGGAAATGCATTCTTTGATTTGGAAGTTGATTATGCAACCCCGAAAGATTGATACGGTAATGTTTGTGATCTTTCAGCAGTTTTTTGGCTGGAAATTGATTTGCTTTCGGACCGATAGTTATATGTGTTGGTTTAAATTCGTAGCACACAATCAGCTAGGAGCCAGGAAAAAAGGTGAAATACACACTGTACAATATCCGTACTCCTAATGTTTTTAATCATGAAGGGGATGTTTTGTTCTGCTAAACAGCGATATAATGTAAAACTTGACTCGGCCTTTGGATTTTGAAATAAATGTCCTGGTTAACTTTATTTGCCTGCCTTCTCTTGAAAAGTTTTAATGGTTTTGGTGCATTATGTGTTGTAACAAAGTTTCTTCTTTCTGGTCTATTAGAACGGGATCCTGCTATTTCCCAAGACATTTGATTGGTAATATTGAGCAGCATATGGGGTGCTAGAATTATACTGCAATTTGGTTAATGGTTGTATCATGCTGATTGTAAATATGACTAAATTTAGAATCTGGAAGGCCCACCTAATCTGCTGTAGTAGGGTGTTGGAAATCCAAACGAGTTGTATCTGTTCATCAGAGAGTTTTATTGAATCTGAATGGTGAAGTTTTTATTAATGTGGAGAAAGGCATAATTTAAAAGATTATTTGTTTCAGCTTCTGGTTCAAATAGTATGTTCTGCTTCTTTTCTATGACATTTCCTTCATTTTTGATCATGTAGTTTCTTTTGACATTTTAGGTACATACATGGTCATTTGATGCAAATCAATATGTTGCTCATGAGGATGACGTATCTTACAGTTGCCGTGTATCAGGTACAAGCTTTAATGCACCAACGCTTGCTCTAATGGAACAAAAGGATGTTTTCCTGAATTCTTAAATCAAAAGGTTGTTGAATTTATTCTTTTGTGCTGCTTGTTTTGAGAAGTCTGGTTTGCATATCATAACATTGATTCAAAGACATACACAATTAAATTAAAGTGAGATTTATGAGTGGTTAGAGCAGAAGCTACTATGCATTAGAGATAAGAATTTGATTTGAGAAGCTTCATGAATTCCTATATAATACGAAAGCAGAGATAATTATAAATATATTTAGCGATGTTGCAAAATTAAGTAGCTGTTAATTTTGGAATAAGCATACCAAAAGTTATATTCAGTGTGGATGAAGACCAAATATGGCCTGAAAGTCCTGGGGTGTTCAGTAGTGTAACTGATTCTAGTGACTTTCAAGGGGGAAGGTAAGCTGAGCAAAGTATTTGTGTTCACATACCTTATTTGGTTTATTTAATTAAGGTTGTACTTGTATGTTGAAAGACTTGTTAAATTTTTTTATTTATTGTCTTTATCCTACATTTTATATGGCCAAAATTTATCTGGATCATGACTTTTGAATTAGTTTCATTCCTGACATGAAATTTCAATTTTTTTTCTGTTTCTGACTGGTTCACTATTTGTCTTGGTGTTGAAAGACTTGTTAGAGTTTTTTATTGTCTTTATCCTACATTTTATATGGCCAAAATTTATCTGGATCATCTCTTTTGAATTAGTTTCATTCGGTTCTGACATGAAATTTCAATTTTTTTTTCTGTTTCTGACTGGTTAACTATTTGTCTTGGTTTTTATGTGTTTTTATGTTGGTTTTGGATGTACTGCCTTCATGGGCTATCGAATCATGCTTGCAATTTATTACAAGTAATTTTGTGGGATCTAGGTGGAATCTAACTTTACCCAGACCTTCATAGCACCTAGCAATTGTGATACCCGAGTTAAGCCAAACAATAATTAACAAACAAATATTATTATTGAAAAGCCAATAGGTGGTTACAATCAACACACTGAATGGGAAAATAACAACAATGACGACACACAAACTCATGCTAAGGTTCGATCTAGGGGAGGTGGTGGTCGGCTGTGGGGTTTGGAATGTGTGGCAAGTGGCGTGATTGATGGTCTGGGTGCTGGGATGAAGTATAACAACAGTTGGAGTGGCAGCGAGTAGGCGGCGGCTGGACAGTAGGAAAACATCAGGTTTGCTGTTTTCCTGATGGAAGCAGCGAGGAACGACGATTGGGAGTGATGCGGGAAGGTTGGGGAAGGGTTAGAGGCTGCAGGAGACAACACAAGGGGTGGCTGATGGCTGGTTCTGCAGGAGGATAGCAAAGGAACAGCAAAGGGACAATGTTCTATGTGCCTGCAGTAAAGAGGGAAGAGGGGGAAGGTGGTTTGTCAGCAGGTACTGCAGAGGACTGCAGGAACTGCAGAAAACAGCAAAAGGAGGTTGTTCACGGCGACCATGAGTTATGGGGTGGATGCGGGGCAAGAAAAATCGGAGATAAATATCTTCTCGGGAGCGAGATACAACCAGAGCACCACTCAACCCTTGGAGGAGAGTCGCCACGTCGGAATGAGATACAACCGGAACACCGCTCGCTTTTGGATATAGCCCTAGACGGGAAAACATTGGACGCCGATGGTTTTCCGGATAGAAACATAATCCAAAATTAACCATTGACTTCTATGAAAGTAAATATATAATAATATGATAACTAGGAGTGGCCCAAAAGGACCAACCGACTCCTCAACACGGGCAAAACCTTATTTGGTGCAGATACAACAGCCGGGTTGCTGCTTCATTCGTGGGACTCTTACGTTGGGAGCAGCCTACGTCAAATGGGGTCACGGTGTTTGCTGTCAATATCTATGGATCCAATATTTCTTTCCCTGCTCACTAACTTGTGTGTTCTCAGCAACATAAATCTTCAAAATAACTATAATAATATAATCACTAACTTAATTTTATTTTATAAGCATTAACATATGTAAAAACCTAAATACTTATCATTTTTATAAGGATTAACATAAATATTTTATTGCAACTTTTTTGCTTGTAATTCATAGCTTCATAACTAAAATTTTAATTACATATATCATGCTTATTTATTGAATTATAAAAAACTAAAATTAATACTAATTTAATATTATTAATAATATTAGCAATATGGAGTGTACATAATATTTAAAAATAATATCATATCTGGATGCAAAATGGCAACGTTCTTGGCATATAAACCCTTACCTAGATTCAGCAGTATTGAGAGCTCTATGCCTTGAGTAATGCCTTTTATGGGAAAGATACTTACAAATTTATTATTTGTATATGTAATTTCCTTATAACCTCATGAGCACGTTGTCACGTTTATGATGCTGCTCCTGTTTTTTTAAGAGTATGATTATTTTATTTGATTTAATACATAAAAAAAAACAATACAAACTTATGATTGAAATGCAAAATTGAATCTGAAATTAGTTTTCTAACCTTGGTTTTTATACTTAACGTTTTTTTTATTTTCGAGGTTTGATACATGTAGGCAACGTGGGATGTAAACTAACTACATCTTTCCTTCTTCTCAACTCCACTTCTCTATTACTTTCTCCTTCTCTAACGTTGGCTACTTCTTTCTTGATGGTGAGTTGCTTGCAGCCTTTCTTTTTAAAGGAATATTAGAATTAGAGTTTCGTGGCCTTCAGCGCTTCCATGAAATGGATAACTTGACAATGTTGATATGTATCTTGTTTATGCTATACTATAAGTCAGCCTCTCTTCTTCTTTAAGATTTTTTTTTCTAGCTATAGTGTTGATTGTGGCCTCTCGCTCATGGTGGTGCTGTTAAAGACAAAGTAGGCTATGCACTCCATACATGACTTCATTGTCTATGTTGTGTTTTGGCTTTTTGATGCTTCCATGGCAAGGCATTTTTGTCTCCACTATTTGAGCAGCGCATGGTATTGGAGTTAACCCAAACCATAATAGCTAAAGTAAATATTATTAAGCTAAGCAACTAGGTTTACAATTAAGGGTCCATTTGGTTCGGCGGTAGGAGTGCAGTGGGACGGCTTCCCGAGCGCGACAGGACGCCTTTTTGGCTAAACGCTGGCTGTGGATCGAACCCCGTGACCTTCGTTCGAGCGATGACTTATTACCCGGGTTACCCCTTCGTCGCTCCTGCTCTAATTCCCTTTCCCTTTATTCGACGCCTGATCCCACGTGCTCCCCTACTTTTCGACGAAGCCATCCCTCCTGTCGCTCCTACCTCCTGGAGGCCATCCCAAACCGTCAGACATCCTCTCCTCTCCCCAATCTCGTGATTCACATGTTGGTTTTTTCTAGCTTTCTCTGTTGGGGCATATGGATTCGGTGGAGTATTTGTAGGAGGATGATAGGAGTATTTGTAATTTATTCAACACTATGTATTGAGCATTCAATACTATATCAATACTATATTTCTTTTATCTTTTATTTAAAGTAATTTGTACTTTACATTTTATATTTATGGTTTGAACTTTTTACACTATTTGTAAGTGTAATTTTTTTCCCATTTGCATTTTACTTATTTTTTGTGTGGGTTTGAGAGATCAGTGATGAGACGTTTGATCTTTATGGGTTTTTCTGGATGGTCTGTTGGTCGTTGTTGGTTAGCATTATATGTGAAATCCTAATGAAGACAACCAAGTTCTCTTCTTTTCGGGGCATCGGTTTATGAGGTTCTTTAGGATAGTTTTTTTTTGGTGACATGCACATGTGATGCACGAGATTGATTTTACGTTGGTTAAAGGCAACCAAGAACTCATTTTTTTATAAGGTTTATTGTCTTTTTGTAGTGATAGATTCGTTGGTTGGTATGCACAGGTGATGCACAGGTGAGGCACAGGTGTTTGGTTTTACGTTGGTTAAAAGCAACCAAAAACTCATTTTTTTACGAGGCCTACTGTCTTTTTGTAGTGACAGATTCGTTGATTGATATGCTAAGTTCTCTGAAAGCTCACGCCTACAAAAAACTGTAATTAATTACTTCATTTAACAATTTCAACTTCAGTTATGACTAATGAATTGTTTTTTTAATCATTCAGGAAAGTTGAGCTACAAGATTTAAGGGATTTCCTGATGACTGCTCTGCCACTGCGGACTGCAGCCTTCCCTATTGACGTCACGCTAGGCACATAGCTACGGGATAAAGTTTTACAGGTGTCATCTGTGGGTAGACGATCTAGAGAAGTGTGACTTCTTCTGACAGACATACAGTTTGACAGATTTCACTGTCGATAGTAAGTGAGGTTGGATGACATCCCCGGAGGACGACGCAACTCGGGACATATGACATCCTCTGAGGACGACACAACCCTACTGTCAATGCACATCCGTCATGAACGATCCTTCTTGAGTACCATCACGACGGGTACAACACACAAATTAGTACTCTGATCAACCTTCTCGCGACTAGATCCTGTACTTGTTGCTGTAACTCCTCGTATTTTGCAGGTCTTAATCTGTAGGCGCACCATTTTTGCAACATTGTTCCGGGTATGAGATTTAAGCCGTGTTGAATATCTCTCACTGGTGATAACTCTTTTATATTTTGAAAAAAAAAAGTGTTCGTGTTCGGCTCATTTGCTTAACCAGCCGAAAACGAACTGTTCACGAACAAATAGTTATTTTGACAGTCATAATCACATGGCCGTAGGATGCCAATGGTTTGCGCGAGATTTAAATCTTACTATTTATATTCAAACATAATTTAAATATAATTTAATATATTTTTATTCTATTTTTTAATTAATAATTTTCATTGATCATAGATCATTGTAGGATTGTAGTCAATTAAATTTTTTAAAAATTCTATTCATCGATATTATATATATATATAATTTCATTTTTCATACCAAAATGAGCCAAACACGAACGAACAAATCCTTGTTCCTGTTCAACTCATTTATATATTGAGCACGAAAAAATTGATCGTATTCGACTCGTTAA